TTTCCATTGAACATGTTATAAAGTTTTTTGATCACCACAAAATACAATACCAGATGAAGGTCATTATACAAAGAGAATCAAATAAATAACAGTTAAGGAGAAAAAGTTCCTGTAAGAGTTCTAGCATGTCAACAAGAAGTTAATTGCCTCTTCTTAATATTTCAAATACATGTTAATTAGTAGGCTAATAAAAATTTTAAATACTATACAAACAGTGATCATCTTGGTGTCACCTAGTTTGTGGCTCACCACAGAAAATACCTAATCAAAACAACAACAAAAAAAAATCACAGTATCCTACTCATAGACAATAACCCACCATCCATGTTATCAACTTTTTTTTTTTTTTTTTTAGATGGATTTTTGCTCTATCCCCCAGGCTGGGGTGCAGTGACCTCAGCTCAGTGTAACCTCTGCCTCCTTGGATCAAGCAATTCTCCTGCCTCAGTCTCCTAAGTAGCTGTGATTACAGGCACACAGCACTATGCCTGGATAATTTTTGTAGTTTTAGAAGAGAGGCGGTTTCACCATGTTGGCCAGCCTGGTCTCGAATTCCTGACCTCAAGTGATCTGCCTGCCTTGGCCTTCCAAAGTACTGGGATTACAGGTGTGAGCCTCCACACCTGGCTGTCAACTTTCTACTGCTATGAACTCAGACATCTCACAGTTCAAACTGGGTATGGAACCTGGAAAAAAATGACTAAATAAAATAATGGCCTTCTTTCATGCAAAGCGTGAGTGAGTGTAGATGTAATAAGTACATCTAAATTTGTCATGGTGAATTAAACCAGCTTCAGGCAAAGAAGCAGAGTATCAGGCCGAAATGGTCTATTTCTTTTCAATTTGTTATACATAGAGAATCTGAAATTTATTTTTTACTTGATTAAAAATTAAATTAGGTTTCATTTTTGTATGCAGAGCTCTTTCCTTGAGTTATTCGATAATGGCCAGGGTAGAATGAAGCCAGTAATCAAACACTGCAGACTTTGGAAGCCCTCCTGTTTTTTCAGACTCTTAATAAAGCCTGAGAAGAGCACCAGTGTAGGGAGTGGGTGTCTTTGTTTTTTGTGATGACTCACTTTGTCCAGTATTCATTCATTTATTTTTAAGTCATTCCACAAATATGTGGAAGCTTTTCTAGAAAGGGACCATGGAAAACGCAAAAAATACTTGGCCTTTACCCTGGAGAACTTTACGGATCTTTTCCCCTCAAATAAGGTCCTCTTACTTTAATAATCAGCAGTCTCACAAATTAAATTTTCTCTTCCTCTCTTTGAAACCAACCAATTCCTTTTCAGGAGTATATTTTCAGGAGAATCTGAGACTAGCCTACTCACTCTAAGACTGACTCAGAGACTTCTACTTTTAGAAAAAAACTAAAGACACAATAGTGAAAAAATCTTCAGGCTTCGAGATACAAAAGAGTACCAGCAAATAGAATATTTAAAATTCATTTTAATGTGGGATCACTGTTTACATTAGCAGAAGAACATAGAAGAGATTATGAAGGGCTGAGATCAATCAGGCTATTTAGACATAGTTTTAGAAGGGTTAACAGTGTTCCATGACTCTTTGAGCAAGCAACAGAACTGTTAGAAAAACAGCAGATACAGAAAAACTCAACAGCATCATCAAACAGGATCTCAAAGACAATTATATTCACAGACTGTTATATTCATATTCTTTTCAAATGCCCAAGGAATACTCAACAAGACAAACCATATCCTGGATTTTAAAAAACTCAATATATTTTAAAATAGAGCATGTCCTTTGATCATAGTGAAATTGAACTAGAAATCAATAACAGAAAGATAATAGGGAAAATCTCCCAACACTTGGAAATTAAACAAAACACTGTATATAACCTGTGGGTCAAAGATGAAGTCTTGAAGAACATAAAAAATACTTAGAACTGAATGAAAGTGCAATATATCAACATTTGTAGGATGAAACGAAAGCAGTTGCTGAGAGGAAAATGTATACCATTAAATGCTTGTATTAGAAAAGAAGAAATATCTTAAATAAACAACCTAAGTTGCACATTCTTAAGAAACTAGAGGTTGGGCAAGCCTGTAACTCCACCACTTTGGGAGGCTGAGGTGGGAGGATGGCTTGAGCCCAGGTGTTCAAGACCAGCCTGGGCAATACAGTGAGACCCCATCTCTAAATATATATATATATTTTAAATAAAGAGAATCTTGAATACTAAAACAGGCTAAAAATACTTTAATGTATGCTGCAGAGAGGAAGAATCATTTCTGATTTAAATAGGGTCATTATTTTCTATGGAATTAATCTGTATATCAAGTCTACTTGTTATTTCTTTACTCCATTTTCCCTGAAGCTAAAGTATATGCTTCGTGAGGAGCTGTTTTATTCATCCCTTATAGAACCTCCTGCATTAAAGATATTTTTCAAAAATACTAGATAACTTTTTAATTGAGCAAGTTAGCTAATACTGGCAGAATCTAATACATTTCTAAAGAAAATTGGAGTTATGCCACACTGACAAGCAACATAACCTTGGTTATGTAGGTCTCTCTGGCATGGGCAATTTCATGGATGTTCTTAAAGTGAACATGAAGACTTGCACTTCTTGATTTGCACGACTTTTATGGGATTTTCTGGGTCAAGTGAATAGTGAGCCATTTTCACAGATCACCTCAGGCCACTTAGAAGTAGAGCTGTGTTTTACTTTTGTTTTTGAGACAGAGTCTTGCTCTGTCGCCAGGTGCCAGGCTGGAGTGCAGTGTCAGGATCTCGGCTCACTGCAACCTCTGCCCCCTGGGTTCAAGCAATTTTCTGCCTCAGCCTCCTGAGTAGCTGGGACTACAGGCACGGGCCACCATGCCCAGCTAATTTTTGTATTTTTTAGTAAAGACGGGGTTTCACCATGTTGGCCAGGACGGTCTCAATCTCTTGACCTCGTGATCTGCCCGTCTCGGCCTCCCAAAGTGCTGTGACTACAGGCATGAGCCACCTCGCCTGGCCTGTGTTTACTTTTATACCTCGAGTGCACAGTATAAATCCTGTCACAGAGTAGGGTCCTAGTCAGGTGCATCAAGAGATTGCAGGTATTCAGTCACATCTTCAGGTTCTACTTCTAATTCTAGCTCTGTTGCTATTTCCATCATCTCTGCAATTACTTCTTCCACTTGAGTCTTGAACCTCTCAAAGTCATGCAGGAGGGTTGGAGTATACTTCTTCCAAACTCCTGTTTTTTGACATCTTCCCATAAATCAAGTATGTTCTTAATGGCATCTAGAATGGTGAATCTTTTCCAGAAGGTTTTCAATCGACATTGTCCAGATTCATCACAGGAGTCACTATCTATGGCAGCTATAGCCTTACAAATGTTTTCTTAAATAATGAAACTTGCAAGTCAAAATTACTCCTTGATTTATGAGCTGCAGAGTAGATGCTGTCTTAGCAGGCATGAAAACATTAATCTCCTTGTATACCTCCATTGGATCTATTGGGTAATTAGGTGCATTGTCAATGAGCAGTAATATACTGTATTTTTTAAAAATAAAAATCATCCAGCCCAAAAATGTCAAGAGGAGTAATACTTTGAAAGGAAGCTTTGTCTCTCAGTAGTAGGTCTCAATACTGGGTTTAAAATATTCAATAAACCATGCTGTAAACAGATGTGCTGTCATCTAGGCTGTGTTGTTTCATTTACAGAGCACAGGCAGAATAGAATCAGCATAATTCTTAAGGGCCCAAGGATTTTCAGAATGGTAAATGAGCACTGGCTTCAACTTAAAGTCACCAGCTCCATTAGCCCCTAACAAGAGATTCAGCTGTCTCCATTGAAGCTTTGAAGCCAGGCATTGACTTCTCCTGTGTAGCCATGAGAGTCCTGAATGACATCTTTGAATCTAAGGCTGTTTTGTCTATATGCAAAATATGTGGATTAGTGTAGCCATTTTAGTCAATTATCTAGCTAGATCTTCTGCCTAAATTGCTGCAGCTTCTACATCAGCTCTTGCTGCTCGACCTTGCACTTTTGTGCTATGGAGATGGCTTCTCTCCTTAAGCCTTAACCAATCTCCTTTGCTACCTTCAAACTTTTCTTCTGCAGCTTCCTCACCTTTCTCAGTCTTTACTGAATTAAAGAGAATTAGGATCTTGTCCTGAATTAGATTTTGGCTTAAGGGAATGTGGCTGGTTTGATTTTATATCCGGATCACTCAAACTTTTTCCATATCAACACAAGGAGGCTATTTTATGTACTTATCATGAAACCAGTGTGTTCACTGGAACAGCACTTTTAATTTCCTTCAAGAACTTTTTCTTTGCATTCACAACTTGGCTAACAGCCTGTTGCAAATGGTTTCCTCACTAAGTTTAGTCATTTCTAGCTTTTGATTTAAAATGCAAAACATGCGAAACATTACCTTTCACTTCAACACTGAGAGGCCACTGCAGGGTTATTAACTGGCTTAATTTCAATATTATTGTGTCTCACAGAGAGGGAAGCCCAAGGGGAGAGACAGACAGAAAGACAGGGGATGGCAGGTTGTTGGAGCAGTGAGAACACATACATTTACTGAGTAAGTCTTATTAAGTTCACAGTATCCCCAAACAGTTACAACAATAACATCAAAGATTACTGGTCACAGGCTGGGTGTGGCGGCTCATGCCTGTAAATTAGCCAGGCGTGGTGGTGGGTGCCGGTAATCCCAGCTACTCAGGAGGCTGAGGAAGGGGAACTGCTTGAACCAGGGAGGTGGAGGTTGCAGTGAGCCAAGTTCGCGCCACTGTACTCCTGCCTGGGCGACGGAGTGAGACTACATCTCAGAAAAAAGAACTGATACTTATTTCTTACAGTTCTGGAGCCTGGGAATTCCAAGATCAAGGCACCAGCCAGTTCTGGGTCTTGGGTACTACTTGGCACACTGATAAATGGTAACTGTTTAAGAAAACAGTATGTCCTGTTAGTAAGGAAAGATCTACAGGGAGTTACTTTCTCTCTCCTTAGTGAGGGTCTTACTTACCAAATCTGGCTTCACCTGGTGAATCAGAGGGAGGGAGAGCCACATGGAGTGCAAGGTGGTCAACACCGTGGAGGGCCAGGACTGCTGAACCTCACGGCTTCTTGGAATTCGGTGAATGTAGTATTTGGTATACTAGAAGGAAACAGAAGGAATCCAAATCAATGGAGTCACTGATATCTAAAGTTAACAGCTGTAGGAATTGAAGTGCTTTCTTGCTTATTTTAAATTTTCATTTTAACCATTTTAAAATTAGAGTTGTAAAGCCTATCTCATGCTTTATATAACACATCAAATGGTATCACACATGACAAAGAAGTTCTATGATTCAAAAAATGTTCAAGTCAGTTTGAACAACAAATTGGGGGAAGTTTCTATAAAGTATGTTTCAGGCAAATAATTTAACCTGTTCATATACAAAGAGTTCTTACTAGTCAATATATAAGACAGGTAACCTAGTATCAAGATGGGCAAAGATGGACAGATAACTCTAAACAGAAGAAATACAAATAATGATAAACATATAAAAAGATGGCTAACAATTAAGCACAACAGAAAACAAGTCATTTTCACCAACCTAGTTGGCAATGACAATGGATACCCAGTGTTGTTGAGAGTGCAGGGAAACAGACATTCACATTCCCTGGGTAAATACATGGGTACAGCTTTTTGGGAGGGCAATCTGGAAATATCTATCAGAACTTTAAATGTGTTTCCCTTTGATTCAGCATTTCTGCTTCTGGGAATATATCCCACAGATTACCCCACTATATCATTGTTTGTATTTGTGGAAACTGAAACTAGACCAAATGTTCTCCGGTAGGGAATGGAGAAGTGCATACAGTAAAATATATGGAGATATTAACAAATGACATAGAACTATTTGAAATCATATGGAAGATATCCCAAGACACATTAAGTGAATCATGCAAGCTGGAAGACAGCATGTTTAATATAATCCAGCATCAATTAACAAAATACTCACATGCATACACACACACATTAGTATTTGTTTGTTTGGTTTCTTTTGAGACAAAGTGTCACTCTGTTGCCCAGGCTGGAGTGCATGGTGCAATCACAGCTCACTGCAGCCTTGACCTCCCTGGGCTCAGGTGATCCTCCCACCTTAGCCTCCCAAGTAGCTGGAACCACAGGCATATGCCACCACACCCAGATCTTCTCACCTCAGCCTCCAATAGCTGGGACCACAGGTGTGAGCCACCACGTCCAGCTAATTTTTTTGTATAGACAGGTTTCGCCACGTCGCCCATTCTGGTCTTGAACTTTTGTGTTCAAGTGATCTACCCACCTTGGCCTCCCAAATTACAGGGTTGAGCCACCACATCTGGCCCATGCATTAGTATTTGTATTTTAAAAATCTGAAACTGGGCTGGGCATGGTGGTTCACACCTGTAATCCCAGAACTTTGGGAGACCCAGGTGGGTGGATCATCTGAGGTCAGGAGTTCAAGACCAGCCTGGCCAACACGGTGAAACCCCATTCTCTAAAAATAATATAAAAAATACAAAAATTAGTTGAGTGCCTGTAATCTTAGCTATTTGGGAGGCTGAGGTGGGAGAACTGCTGAATGTCAGAGGCGGAGTTTACAAAAAGCAGAGATCCTGCCACTGCACTCTAGCCTGGGCTATAGAGCAAGAGTCTGTCTCAAAAACAAAAAAAAAAACAAAAAAAAAAAACAGAAAGAAAAAGAAAAACATCTAGAACTGGAACTACATGCTACAAATTATAGAGAGGATGACATTATAGGATATTTTCATTTTTCAGGTCGGAATATCTTTGAATATGTTTGAAATTTGCAACAAGAAAGTGGTATTATTTTCATAATCAAGAGAAACCAATGTATTTTCCCTGAATCAAAGTTCCAGGTATACTGGTTACCTATTTCTGTGTAACAACTACCTCCAAACTTAGCAGTTTAAACCACAAATATATTCTGTTTCTCACAGTTTCTGTGGGTCAGGAACCCAGGATTGGTTTAGTTGAGTTATTCTGGCTTACAGTGACTCATCTGGCTTATAGTGACTCATGAACTTGAAATCAAGTGGGTGGCTGGGGCTGCAGTCATCTGAAGGCTTGATTAGGGCAGAATAATCCACTTCCAAGGTGGCTCACTCCTATGACTGGCCATTTAGTGCTGATTGTGGGTTGGTATCCTTAGTTCCTTGCCAAATGGATCTTTCTATAGGGCTCCTTAAGCGTTCTCATTACGCAACAGCCAGCCTCTGAAAAGTAAGTGCTCTGAGAGAGGGCAGGCAAGGCAGAAACTGTAATGTCTTTTATGACCTGACCTCAGAAATCACATTTTGATATTTCCGATAGTTTGATATTAGTTACACAGGTCAACCCTATTTGATATGGAAGGGGCTACACTGGAATGTGAGAATCATTGAGGGCTTTTTTGGAGACTGGCTACCACACAGTTAAGTCAGAAAGTAAAGAACTGAATATTTAATACATTCTTCCTCTCCCTTTGGCCTTAAGAAACAATATGTTCCTTGAGAAAAGAATAGAAAAGCTTTTTTCTAAACTAATGAAAAGCATATAACTACTTTTTTGCACTCAGAAAAAGGTGTGATATTGCATTTGGAGGGTTCTATTATGCTCCAAGAGGACAGAAGTGCAGTTCTTATAGACTCAGCACAAAGTGAAAATGGAAACTGTGTGAGCACCCTGCTTCTTCAGATGATGGCAGAGAGTATTTTCTCCTCTCTCCATGGCATGCCAGAGTATAATGGGAGATCTGGGCTCAATATGTATTCACTATTTTTATTTATCAATCTTTTGTCAGATCAATGTTGTTGTTTTTTCCCTTCCAAAAGCTTAAGGTACTAAATATTGAACTAGAAATTAATACCGGGTAGTTCTCAAACTATAAACTGGACAGAAGCAATAGCAAATTGTTTGAGGTTTATGCTCATCTAATTTGCGGAGATTATTAATTGAAAAACAAGTAATAGGCCAAGCAGTACTGTAGAGTCAAAATTCTTTCTCAGAGAAACCTTTTGGGTCAGAAGTGTTTGGATAGGCAATATGGTTTATATAACGTGTATTATATACTATCCTCTTTCGGAGTTTGGGAAAGAAATAAAACATACTAGTATTTCTGCAACAAAACATTAATATTTACAGTAAATAGGATAAATAAAGACTATAAGCTACATGCTGATTCAAATCAGGTTTTGCCATTAAATAAGCTTGGGACAAACTGGAATTTTTTTTTTTCTCCAGTTTTCAGAGCTTTTTAGGATTTCAGACTAAGGGACTGTGGACCTATACTACAAACTACATTTGAATCCAGTAAGATATCATGTCATTGTTGTTATTGTGATAAAAATAATGCAGTAGAATTCCATCATAGAAAATTTTTGGCTGTTACTTCCACCAAATTGTGTGGCCTAATTTCAATACGTATAATATTTTCTTTAAAAAAGCATGGGTGTTTATCACGTTCCTTTAATTTTTTTAAGGCTGTGAGTATATAACTTTACAAAGAAGTGGCAATGAACAATATTTCTGGATTACATCCAGGCACTGTTCCAAGGGACTGGAAAGGTGATCAGTTTGATTCTGGCTCCTCTGAGTCCACCTTGGCTCCAAGGACTTAAATATCCAGGCCTGGTAAGGCCTATGCAAAAGTGTCTGGGGTTGGAGATAGCTTTCCTAGACCTGGACATGGATGAAAGTCTACATCTCATCCTTGGCAGCAGCCTGAAGCAGCTAAGAAAATGAGTTTAGGAAGTCCCAGGGCATTTTCAGAAGAAGAACAGAAACTACTGCAATCATGTTCCGGGATGGGAATGGAGGGACCTCCAAGATATAAAATAGAAAATCAGGCCTGAGGGCAGGGCAAGACAAGTAACTAACATTTGATGAACTCTCTCTCTCTCTCTTTTTTTTTTTTTTTAAGAGACAGGGTTTCACCATGTTGTTCAGGCTGATCTTGAACTCCTGACCTTATGATCGACCTGCCTCGGCCTCCCAAAGTGCTGGGATTATAGGCATGAGCCACTGCGCCCGGCCTCCCTCTCTCTCTCTCTCTCTCTCTCTCTCTCTCGCTCGCTCTCTCTCATTTTTTTTTTTTTTTGAGACAGAGCCTTGCTCTTGTCACCTAGGCTGGAGTCAAAGTGACGTGTTCTCGGCTCACTGCAACCTCTACCTCCTGGGTTCAAGAGATTCTCCTGCCTCAGAATCCTGAATAGCTGGGATTACAGGCATCTGCTACCATGCCTGGCTAACTTTTGTATTTTTAGTAGAGATGGGGTTTCACCATGTCGGCCAGGCTGGTCTGGAACTCCTAACTTCAGGTGACTCGCCCACCTTGGCCTCCCTAATGCTGGGATTACAGGCTTGAGCCACCCTGCCTGGCCTGATGACCTCTCTTTTGACTTGTGGATGCACCATACAAGGAGCCAACTTCCAGTCTCCAGACCAGCATTTAGCTGGGAGGGGAGTCTTGGTTCCACTTGTATGCTGGAGCTAGCTCAGCCAATGACCACATGCCTACAGCGACCAATCATCTAGATTGCAGAGGATGGTCTCGGTTTACACTATTGTCTCAGCATAATTATTGATAGTGCCCCATCTGCTCTCAGAAGTATCAATTTAAACGATAAAGCACATGGTTATCCTAGGGCAGGGCAATGAGGAGCCTCTTCCAAGTTAGAAAGGAGAATACTTATTCAGTACAGCCTGAAGAGTCAATATGATGGGAGAATCTGTATCAACGTCAGGGATGAAAGTTGAAGTGGTAGCTGAAAAGAAAGCCAAGCTGAAAGTCCTAACCGTGACATGAAGGTGACTGGCACAGGACAGGAGAGTCCATCTGGTGCCACTCTCTGGCTTATGGCTCTGAACTAGAGAAGCCTCCACTTCCAAATCCCATCCAATCTTTCTCACATTATTTTTTGGTAGTAAGTTCAAGTAACTAAAAATCCTATCAAAAAGAGATTGCTCTATAAAGCCAAGTCTCCCCTACACATCCCCCCACCACTGTGGCATATCAGTTCTCAGAGATATCTTTCCTGACTAGCCTCTCTAAAATAACCCTATCCTTCTCTTTCCCCACCCCCACATACACATATTCTTCCCTCCCCCATCACCAAGCTTTCTGTGTG